TACCGGAAATTATTAAAAAATATTCTGACACAATTCAAATATATAAGTTCTTTTCAAATCGAAGTAGTATTTTATTTTAAATTTTTTAATACTTTTTAAAAATAAAATTAATTACTTACTTTGCTATTTCTTATTAAGGAATAAATGGCGAAAATTTAGTTGATTTAATAACTTGGGTTAGCCAGTACCTTCTAGATTCGTTTTTGTTCGGAAATCTCATTATACCTTTTATTCATACCACGTGCAATAGCCACATATAATACGTACACGTAAGGCATTAAAGAGCCTTCCAATTTCGAGAACGTGTTCATAAAATTTATGAAGGGTTAACTTTAATAAAATCAATTTCGAAACGCCCTGACTCGTTTTTCTTCCCACGAAGATTCAACCATCTGGGGAATTAATGTGTTCATCCGATAAATTTGTTTTTTTTTTTTAATTAAAAAAATTAATGGAGATGGAAAATAATTACGAAATGAAGGTTGATCTCAGACACTACATAATAAATGAAGACTTCATATCTTACAATTGTTAGCAATATATGCGTACGTATACGTAAATAAGCAAAGTCTAGATGGAGCAAGTTATGTATCTTGAAACGATTCTTTTGTTTTTCTTTTTGATAGATTATATTTTTAGAGATGTGTACTCTAGAAACTAAAATTACGAAATTATTAGAATTTTACCTAAGGTCTGAGTGAAACCATAACAATTAGTCGTTCGAGAGGTCGCTCTAAATCGGACCCCCAACTCATGCGGCCCCACAAGTGCTTTCCTATTCCAATTTATATTTGTATGATATAAATGTGCGACAAGGTGTTATGTGTGTTCACGAAAATATGTATTTCGAAATCCAAGGGAATGATTCATTATTTCGGCTTCGTTTTAACCAATTTTGAAAACCTGAAGCGCGAAATTTCGTTCTTTACAGTGTAGTTCAAGCCATGTTTAAATTTATATGATATAAAAGGGCGGTAGGTGACATGCGCTTTTTCGAATTCATTTGATATGAAGATGTGGAAGGCTATCGTATGACGACATATGCTAACGAAAATGTATTTTTGCGAAACTGAAACAAATGATTCAAAATTTGAGGTTATCTTTAAACTATTTTCAAATTTAAACGCCCAAAATCGCTCTTAAAGTAGTTAGAGCGGAAGCGAATT